CTAATAAATTGCGACTGAATGTGACTGAAAATATTTTATAATAAAATTACTAGAAAATATTGCGACTGAATGCGACTAAAAAATTATTAATGGTCCATAAATTATGAAATTAGCTGTAATTTGATTGGTTGACCTGAATTTTATCAGGTTGGGTCATAAGCTTGACCCGACCTGATGTTAACCTGAAAATTTGTCTACCTAACCTGGATTTTTCAGGTCGGGTCAGGTCGGGTCACAGGTTGACTTGATTTGATTTAGAGCTCTAGATGAGTCTTCTTATAAGTTTATAGAGTCAATCACATTCATGTTCTGAGAGAATTATAAGCCTTGATCTATATTCCAAACGTGATATGAGAACTATATTGTTTAAGTAGTGAAACTGTTTATCTGTCAAAGATTTAAATCTAAGTTTATCTTTAAAGAAGGTAATTTCAGATGAGATTTAGTATTTGATAAACATTTTATTATATGTAGTTGAGATCTATATACCAAGATATCTAATTAAATCTCTGAGTGAGATATTTTAATATTCAAATGAGAAGTTATCAGTGGAATTTTGAAAGATGATAAAATCGGTATTGTTGTGATCAGTAATTAAGTATGATTTGTTAAAATTAACTTTTATGAAGTTCAATTCATAAAAGGTTTGTGCTATATTGAGAATGCTAGACATCTGATTATAACTGTTATCAATCTATATGGTATCATTCATAAAGGCGAGAACTGGAATGGTTATGTTAAGAAATTACTTAGAGGAGTCATTGAGATCAGGATTCCATATTGTAGATATGTTAAAACCCAATTCAAATTTTTTTATTTGATCAAAGAGGGATTATAATAAATGACTTACAATAAAGGGAAGATCACTTCATTTTAGTCAATGCCAACAAGGACTTTATAAGAATCAGTAAATTCATAATCAGTAAAAATTTTGTTAGACCAGTTAAGAAAAAGTCCAATTATTAAATTAATCAAAGTATCTGAAAATTTCGAATGGGTTAAGGTTTTTTTTAACTTGAAAATGTTAATTTTGTCAAAAGCTTTAGACATATCTTAGAAGAGAATATGAAGATTTTGTTTATAAGAATTATCTGATTCTTTTTTTAAATGATGATATGATGAGATTATATAAAGATCAAATAAAAAGGGTTAGACACATATGTTTGATGTAATATTGGTGTGATTGTGATTATAATCATATTATGCTTATATAGAGACTAATTTTCTTAATTAAAAATTCTGTCACAAAATTTTTATTGAATAGTGGTTATGCTTATATGAAAAGTGTAGAGGATTAATTGACTGTATTATTTTTGTAATTTAAAAAAAATTTTTTTAAAATTACTTTATTTTTAGAGTTGTTCAAATATTATGAATACAAAAAATAAGATTTACATCTTTAATACATTAATTACTAATCTATAAAACTAATAGCTATTATAAAATATAATAATACAGATATTATAAAAATACAAAAATAAAATTCAACTTTCATCAAAAATAATGATAAATAAATAAAACTATTACGAAAAAGAAAGTATTCTTACTTTATTTCTATTTTTATATTAATTTAATCTAATATTTTCAATCTAATATCAAATTTTCTTTCTCTTTTACTTGATATAGCATTTTTAAATTAATGACTTGAAATTTGTTCTAAAGAAAATAATACTGAAGTGTTAATAATATTATCTAATAAAAAAAGGCAAAAATGTTATATAAGCTGAATATGAAATTAGATTGCTAGGGATGAAATATTTAAGGATGTGAAATAAGTTTCTCTTTAAATTTTACTACATCATTTTTTTACTTATCATTTATTATACTTATTTTATAATAAAATATACATCTATAACTCAAATAAAAAAACAGATATTAAAAAAATTGAAGAAACTGCAACTAAATCACTTTTTAAAAATAAGTAGAAGCTGCCTTTTAAAATTTATAATAGATGATTTATAATCATTTGCTTTACTAAAGAATGAAAAATTCAAATTTTTTGTATTATATTATTCCTTGTGATAATTAGTGATTTGATTTTATTTTTAAAGAGCCATCCAGATCCAATTCTAAATCTCTTTAGCTAATCCGAATGACAATCTGAATTTCAATTTTCAAAATTTTCAACAGATTTATCTTTAATTTTGTATTCATCCAGATTAATCCTAATTCATCTTCAATTTAAGATCTATCTAGATCTATTCTAATACAAATTTTAACAGATAATCTGTGTACAAAAATTTTTTATTTTTTTATTATATAAAAAAATAAAACTTTATTAGATTTACTTATATTTTGTTATTACAATATTTTATTACATTTAAAAAACTAAAGAAAATAAATTTATTTCTCAATTTCATCTCATTCTTTTGGAAAAACTTCTATTAAATGAATATTTCTTTTTAAAAATAGCATCTGACCTACTAAACTTGTATTCAAATATGTTTTCTTAACTAAAATTAGATTGCTAGTATGAAAAAATAATCTCTTATTTGATACTGACATGACTAGGATTCCAAGGTATTTTTAAGCAATCTGTAATAGTGTTGGAAATATATTTGTATAAACTCACTACTAGTTTAATGGGTTTTCTGTTTCTAATGCAACTAGTATTGCCAAATAGCTGCTAACTTCATCAATAACTGTATATGTAAGGTTGGGAAGTACAGTATTAGTATAATAATTAGTACAATTAGTACAATTAGTATATTATAATAATTACAGCTAATTTCATAATTCATAGACCATTAATAATTTTTCAGTCGCATTCAGTCATAATATTTTATTAGTAATTTTATTATAAAATATTTTCAGTCGCATTCAATCGCAATTTATTAGTGGTCTATGAATTATGAAATTAGCTGTAATATAAAAATTAGTACAAATATAATATAAGTATAGTCAGGGTTGGAAATTTTATATGTACTAGATAAAATTACTACTATACTTGTACTGTATTTGTACTAATTTTATATTAATTATTATAATATACTAACTGTATTAACTGTACTAATTATTGTACTAATATTGTACTTCCCAATTCTGAGTATAATATTAAATTTATATAATACATATAAAATTTCCAACCCTGTATATATATATTAGCTTTATCTTTTTTTAACTTACTTTAGTGGTTGTAGCATTGATAATATTCTTTTTATAAATACATTGAAGATTCAGCATCTGCATCTAATAAACATATAATTAGATCTAATTGCTCTGCTGCTAATAGTGAATTATTGGATTTTATCTCATTAAACTCATTACGAAGCATCTGTATTATTTTATCTTTTTTATCTTCTAGCTTCACAAAATCTAACTCTTTATAATAAGAATTTAGCAAAGAAGTCATTAATCTTGTATTATTGTGAATATTAGAAGTATTCCAGTAATAAAGTAGTGTATGATAGATATTACTTTTTACTTTTCCTAAAACTCCTTCAGTATTTAATGGCTTTTTAATAGAAATCTTCTTATTAGTAATATTGCTTATTATCTTATCACCAATTTTCACATCATTAGCAATAGCTTCAGCTTTTTCAAATATGGTATTTTCATTAAGATAATTAATATCATCTGATAGTGAATTTGTGGCTATATTAAAAACAAGTTCTTTGATAGTCAACATCATTTTGCTATGTTATATAAGTTTCTTTTGAAAACTTTCATGTTGCCTTTTCAAATAAAACTAAAACATCAATTAATTTATCTAATAAATCCTATTCTTTTTTAAATAACGTAATTTTTTTTAATTTATTACTATCTTTTTTATCATCTATATTGGTACTTGTATATAAATCAGTTTGAAATTGGATAATTGAATCTTTAAGGTAAAAAAGACAATCTCAAGCATAATATGAAGAGTTCTAACGTATTTTTACATCTTATATGCAATGCTTATATTCTAATTTATACTGCATTTTCTCCAATCTTTCTATTAGTTTTTGCATTGAAAAAATTAATTATTCTTTTTACATGTATTACCAAAATTTTTATGGTACTAGTCTTTTTTGATTGCTAGTTAAAATGTATGCATTACACAAGAAAGTCTTTAAATATTTTCACATTGATTTTTTTGAGTTAGATAGAAAATACTGCCTTTATATTTGATCTATTATCAGTGATAATTGCTATTATATGTTTATTAAGATCTTAACTTGAAATACATTTATAAAGTAATTCAGCAATAACATCAGCAGTATGAGGGAAGGATGCATATTTTATTTCTAACATTACATCTTTAGCATTAAAATCTGATGTTATTTATACTGCAGTAATACTAATATATCTATGCTTAGCTCTACTAAACCAAAGATTTGTGATAAGAACACTATTGTATCATTTTCACTTAAATGTTTTTCAAAATTTGATTATTGTGTTGATAGCTTTTAACTATCATTGTTTTTGATTTTTTTCTCCAGATACTACAAATAAAGGATCAAATTGCCACATTTTCTCTTTATATGCTGGATTTATAATAGTAGAAAGAGGTTGGTTAGTGATTAACATCTATTTGAGAAGAGAATTTTCTCATTGTTTATGAATATGATGAGAACAATAAGATTGAGCTTAATCAGTAATTTTTGAATTTTGTAATTAAAAGTAAATTTATTTTTAATTATATATAAATATTTAAATAAAATTTTATCTTTAGTGAAATATTTTACCTTTTTGGATATATTTTCATTTTCACTAACCTCATTAATAATTTGATAAAAATCTCATAGATGTGCAATAAGATTTCTAGTTAAACTTCTAGTGTTTGAATATACTTTGCCTAGAGCTCCGAATCAGGTCAGGTCAACCTGTGATCCGATTTGATCCAACCTGAAAATTCCAGGTCAGGTAAACAAATTTTCAGGTCAACATCAGGTTGGGTCAAGCTTATGACCTGACCTGAAAAAATTCAGGTCAACCAATCAAATTAAACAAAATAAAATATTTAAAAAAAAAATTTTTTTTTGTCTATTTTTTTTTTAAAAAAATCTTTAATTTTATTTAATATACTTTCTTTTTATATTCTAATAAAGTTGTTTGTATAATTA